CCAGCTAAATGGCTGCTTTCACCCAAGGCCACCTCCTCCCCAGCTTTTTTCTTCCCCAGTAGATCCCTTGGGGTCTCTGTCTCTCCATCATGGGGTTATGTACCAGTATCTCTCCATTCCACCTTGTATCAGTTAGCAGTCCATACACATTTGTTAAGCATTTACTCTGTGCCAAGAACTGCGTTAAGCCCTGCGTATACAAAGAAATGTAAAAAACAGAAAACACCACCCTTACTCTTAAGGAACCCACATTTTAATGAGGGAGACCACATACAGATAAGAATCTGCATACAAGATATATACAACGTAGATGGAAGGCACTTGGAGGGGGACAGGGAAGGGACCACCCCAGCAAGGAGGATATGGGTTGAGTCTTAAAGGGAGCCAGGGAAACTTGTAGGATGTGGCGAGCAAAGTATTTGAGGCACGGAGTTGGGAGATGGTGCACAAAGTGGTGTTATGGAGTGTCACGTGTGAGCGTAGCAAGTACACTAGTGGGGATGGGTGGCAGAGTTCGTGGAGGGGAGTAAGATGTAAAGATACTGGGAGGGCGGGAAGGAGCTGCTTTAAATGTTAAATAGAAGATTTTATATTTGATCCTAATAGGGAGGTAATAGGGAGCCATTGGAGTTTACTGAGTAGGGAAGTTACATGGCCGGATCCCAACTAAATTTGTCTTTTTAAAGACTTTTAAGTTTTTAATCAACTTTGAAGTTGATTTGAGTACATCTTTCATGCTTGCCCCAGGCAGGTTTCCTGTTGCTTGCCCCAGGAGTCAGAATTGCTAGTTACTGAACTACTTTGAGAGCCTCTAGTCCAAACCCATCATTCTATAACCACAGTGTCTGAGGATCAGAGAAATTAAGTGACTTCATAGCCTCAGGAAATCTCAGAGGTGTGAGGACCTCAGCTGTCATCTATCTGAACTCACATCTGAATGAGAAATCTCCTCTGAAACATCCTTGGTATCATCTATCTGAACTCACATCTGAATGACAAATCTCCTCTGAAACATCCTTGGTATCATCTATCCGAACTCACATCTGAATGAGAAATCTCCTCTGAAACATCCTTGGTATTATCTGGCCTCTGCTTATTCAAGGTCATACAGTTAGCTATGGATCTGGGAAAGACACTCAGGCCCCTGACTTGAAGTCTGCTGCTCTTTCTACCAGATTGGGTTGCCTTGGAAGGCACCTTGTGCGACTTTGTCACAACCCAGCATCGTTTCATTCTAGTGAGAAGTGTCCAGACAAGCTACGAGATGGATCTAGTCCCTTTTGTTCTAACAAAGGTTTTCTGGGAAATGAAATTAGAGATGGACAAAATCTAACTTAAATTGGAATAGTAATTAGACCAGGCAAGTAAATCAATATATGCATTTCAACAGTTCAAAGTGTAAGGGGAAAAAATTGGACATATTCTCCTGACCCTCCCTAAAAAAGTGGTAGCAAGAGGGGCTTGATTTTCAGACCTAAACTGGATTTCTCCTGGCTAAGTTGCTCGGGAGAGTGTTGTTTTGATCTGTGCTGGAGGAGAGGGGGGAGGTGGCAACAGTGGAAGAGGGAGGGGGAGAACTCTCAGGTAATTGACAAATCATCTTCTCCGGCTGAGTCATGGAAGAGAGCTGGTGGGCTCTAGAGAAAACTGCATCCAGCTTTCTGTAACCAGGCGAAAGGTCGCCATAGACACAGGACTGGGGAGGATGGGGAAGTGGGGGAAGGGGACAATAGGGCTCTAAAAATAGACCTGAGCAGCTTCTTTTCACATTCATCTAACTTGAAAGATTTCATCTCCAAGCTACTGTTTCTCCGCCATTGATCTCTGCTGGGCACCACTGGTACAAATTATTCTGGAGCGGAAAGATTTGGCTTTCCTGCAATGCTGAGAGCTAACCATCAATATTTGAAAGCCTATCTGTGATTATTTCACAAGAGTTCAGAGTACCGAAAATCTATGTTCAATGTGTATTCAGCCGCAAAGCTATAAGAAATAATTTAGGCTCAGACAGAGGTAGAGCGTCATATTGATCAAGAATTAGGCACCTGAGAGATAGGAAAATTATTAAAGGTATAGGTCTTTGCATATCAGTTCATAATCTGTGATTTCTTTGGTGTAGGTATTTCCTCCACCAGAGTATAGTCCATCTATTATTTAGCAGATAAATCTTAGAGATTTATCTAGCTGTGAATTAGTGACTTGCTCATGGTCACAATGCTACTAAGTGTCAGTTGTGAGATTTGAACCCAGGGCTACCTGATTCCAAGTCCAGCACTCTTATCACTTCACCAGTTGGCCTCTCTGCTTTGCACACAGGAGGGACTTAATAAATGGTTGTTAAAATATTGAAAAGACGAACAACTTTGAAAGACTTAGGAACTCTGATCAACATTAACAACCAGCCACAATTCCAGAGGACTCATGCTGAAACATATTAGCCACCTCCAAATATGGTCTCAGAGTGCAGACTAAGGCATATATTTTGGATATGGCCACTATAGGAATTTATTTTGCTGGACTCTACATGTTTATTTATAACAGGAGTTTTGTTTTTCCTGCTTTCTCAATGAGGCCAAGTGGAGGTGAGGAGTAAGAAAAAGTAGATCACAAAAATAAAATTAATTTTTAAAATTTGTTAAATTAAATTATTATGTATTGTAAAAAAGGAAAGGACAAGGCGAGTATTAACTTGATATAATAATATTCAAGAACTCCTGAGTAATTGTGTCCTCTAGATGAATATATTTTCGAAGCACACAAGGCTACCAACTGGACATCATGACCTAGTTGTCAATTTATAACATAACCACATGTGGCAAAAATGAATTGAAGCTATACTCTTTGTGTATTTGGAGATTCCAAGTAAAAATTTTCCATGTTGGCGCTATGAAAGAGCTGGTAGACACCACGGAATCACATTCACACCTCCTTGGTCTTTGGTGGGGTACAGTGTCTCTAGACTACGGTTTATAAGGCAATGAAACTAAATGAAATTATGGCCATGGTTTCCCTTCGGGTTATTGAAGTATTTTTTATTCAAGTAACCAACAGATATTTTAATATGACTCTCCTTCCCCTTTAAATGGAAATTTTGAACATGTGACCTTTTTAAAGAAAACAGAAGAACACTAAAGTACATTAATCTGGGGTCGCAAATGGGAATAAACAGACAGATTATAAATTGGGTTCATCTTGCTTTGGGGTCATCCAGGTGCTTTGCCTCTACACGTTCTGTAGGCTGCTCTCTGAGTCATCAAGCTCTCGCTTTTTACATTTCATTCCATCAGAAAACATAGTCATATTTTTATTTTTTAACATTTGTGCTTCGCATTTTCATATTTCAACAACCAAAAGTCGAAGGGGTTGTTGTTTTCGATCCAGTGTACAGAATCAACCAAAAATGAAACCAAAAGGCCCAAGTAATGAAGATTGCAGGTCAGAATTCACTCCTGGAGGTCATGATTGCTGATAAATCACAGTTGCCTAGATTATCAATCTATGGTCCCTTTTCAACTTCAGGTCAATTGAGGGAATGAAGCAGGGGAGGGGTCTTTATACCACAGCTGATGGTTATTAAGCTAATTGCCACACCACCAAACTCATAGTTTCAAAGACAGAAAAGGATAGATTGGAGCACATTAATGGGTGGCCACAAAATAAACTTTCATTCCACTATTTTACAAGTTACTCTCTTTTCTAGTGCTACCAAGCAAAGTCTACAGAGAAAAGAGAAAGAAAAGAAAAAGCACAGAGGTCTTTTCACATAGAGGACTCCCAACAATCCACTACAACTGTATTTTGCCACCATTTATTACAGGGATGGCCAGATTTCTGATGCAGATCACATTTCTGCAGTGAAATCTTAGGATTAGATCCTTATTCTTGTCAATGAAAAACTGGCTGTTTGAGTCTTTTCACTACACAAAGCAACTTCAGTCAGCAAATTTCACCAAAAACTAATATAGAAAAGAAATACATAACACCCCTGCCTAGTGCCCCTTTCCCTGTATTGTACTGTAAGTTTCTACAAATACATATGGCCTTTTCATGTGACCCAAATGACCTATTTTTGGATCCCCTCTCAGCCTGTCATGATGGAAGCTCAGTAACAGTATTTCTGATCACAGATTTCAGGTTTGACCCTTTATAAATGGTTGGTCTAAATGTCTCCTCCTGGTTGTGCTTGACTAGTGCATTACATTTCACTTGGTGCTAGGAAAACCACTGGCTATTTGGGCTGAGTGAAAGTACTAACATAAGCTTAAAGTATAGTCTTGGGTCCAGTTATTATTACATAAGATCAGTCCTTGTCTTCCAAACCAGTACCAGGAAGATGTTCTCAACTGAAAGCCAAGTACCTTAGAGGTGATGCCCTTTGGTGTATCCTTACGTACATATGGGCCACAGGTTCACCGTCAGCTTACACCTATGCCCCAAACACACAGTCCTTGTAACCCCATGCATCCCTCTTTTCTTTCTCTTAGATTAATGACTCAGAATGGAGCTCATCTGTGACCATGCCTATTTTGGAGGATATTTGCTGGGGAGTAGAGAGAAGGGGAAAAGAGGAAAGGAGGAAAGTATTGTCATTTCTATTGTGGTGATATCCCACAAAACCCTGTGGCATTCCTTGGCAGAAGCACCCCACAACCAAGCCGATTGAAGCCAGAATAGAGAAAGACAACAAAGCTTCCAGCAGGAGAGGTAACAGAGCCTAGTGACTCATGTCTTATTATCTATACCCAAATCTGCATTGACCACAGTGCACCTCCTTATCCCCAATGCCATACTCTTTTCATTGTTGCCAGATCGTATACTCTAAACATCAGTATTCCCTTAAAAAAAAAAAAAGTCAAACTTTAAATTCTGGGTCAACCATTCTTCATACTCTTTGAGTCAAGGAGGTGGCCAGTGAGACATCTTCCTCTTAAGATGCCTAGCAGAGAATCTGTGTTAGTTTCATTGAAAAAGAAGCAACAATGATTTGAGGGGTAACTTACCAGCTCCTGAGGTCTGAATAGCTGCAGCACCAAGCGCTTTCTTTACCTGCTTTCTGCTCTCATGCACTCTCTCTCCCTCTCCCTCTTTCTCTTGTGTACAGATTGCAGTGAACTTACAGAAGGAGCTGGGACAGTGTTTCAAATGACTTAAGAAAGAGAACAGGAACAATTACTTCGTTCTCTTTTTCTCAGATGAGTACCTTCGGGAAGAAGGAAGGAAGGGAGGGGAGAGGGAGGAAGTCAACAACCCTTTGCTTTCCTGAAAAAAAATAAGGAAACAGAAGATAGACATCTCGTTTTCTCTTAAACAAAATGTTGGGGGGGGGGGTGGCAGCTTGGAGAAAAAAGAAAAGAAAATCCAAAAAAGGAATACCTCCAGGGGGCTGAGAGCACCAGGCTCCTGCCTGGAGAGGCTGATTGTCCAGTGTGTTGTCCTGTCCAAACAAATGGAGCTCCAGAAGGGCCCGACTCCTGAGCTCACTCGACTGGCTGCTGTCTGGTTTGCAGAACCAACCCAGCCAGAGGGGAGCAAATCACTTCATCCTGACTCTAAGCAAGGGAAAGTTGTGTCTGTCGGGCTCTGGAGAGACGGCAGCCATTGAGATATGGAAGCAGCCAGTCAGGGCGATTCGGGAACTTTGGATTTGCTTGAGCTTAAAAAAAAAAAATTGAAAGACCAGCTTAGCACTTTGGTGGAGTTTTGTAGCCAAACTCAGGTCCTTAGAGTTCTCTTGGTAGGAGATATGGGACTGATGCTGTGACCATTTGGGTTTATCATTATACCAATCTTGATTTTGACGTTGCAATATATGGTCAAAGTAGTTTTTCCCACACCCTAAATGCACCCAGATCCACTTGGATACTACCAAGCTTGATTGATTGTTCCCCATATATCATTCCTTACATCCTTAAGGCTTCTTAGCTTTAGCTAACCCTTAGGAAATTATGAGACATTATTATGCTGGGCACTGAGTGAGATACGAAATTTAGATTAGATACTGACCTTGTCCTCACAGAGCTTCCTAGTAGGAAGATTTCTAAACTGAATAGAATCAATTGAGCTTCCTAAGAATTGATAAGGATACAAATTTTTAAAACCCAGCAGTTTCACTTGGCAACCTACAAATTGGCAAAGATAGCAAAAAAAAAGGGGGGGGAGGAGAGCAGTCAGTGTTGGAGGGGTTATAGAAAGAACGGTATACTATGATACATCGGTAAAGCTGTGATTGAACAATTCTGGAAACCATTTTAGAATTATGGTAAAAAAAAAAGTAATAACAATGTCCATCCTTTGGACCCAGAAGTTCCTCCCAAGGATATACCACTGCTAGATATGTACAAGAAAGAAAAATCTCATGTACACCAAAATATGTGTAGTAGCATGCTTTGTCCTGGAGACAAAGATCTGGAAGCAAAAGAGAAGCCCATTGATTGGTGAATGACTCAAAATTGTGGTTCCTAAATGTAATAGAATATTATCGTACCGTAAAAAATGAATAGGAAGACCACAGAAGAGCATGAGAAGACATATTATCATGTGAAATTATGTAAAACAAAGTAAGCAGAACCTAGGGAAAGAGTACGGGCAATGACTGCAACAATGCAAGTGGAAAGAACTGAGCCCTGTGTAATAATGATGACCAAGCAGGACCTTGAAGAAGAGATGAGAAAATGTTCCCTGCTCCTTTCTTTGCAGAGGTAGGGGGACTACAGGCATGGAATAACCATGTACTGGCAGACTCAGTTGATATGTTACTCAGTTTTGCTAATCTTTTTTTTTAATCTCTGTTTTTGTCTTTGTTATAAGGGATGGGGGCTCTGACTAAGTGCAGGGGTGATAGTTTGGATTCAGTCAAAGGGCTGCACTTGAGGACCACATGTGGCCTTAAGGCTGCAGGTTCCCCACCCCTGGACTAGGGGATGGGAAAGAATCTATTTGGAAATAAAGTTGATAGGAAATCAAAAGATATCTTTAAAAAGAATCAATAGGGGCAGCTAGATGGCTCAGTGGATAGAGCACCTGCCCTGGAGTCAGGAGGACCTGAGTTCAAATCTGGCTTCAGATATATAACACTAGCTGTGTGACTCTGAGCATGTCACTTAACCCCTAGTTGCTTCACCAATAAATAAATAAATAAAAAGAATCAGTGAGAGAGTGGTTAAGGATGGAAGGGAAGGAGAAAACAGAGGGGAAAATCCAGACCTTCTGCTCCATCTATCATGTGACATTTACGTAAGGCTAATAGAAAGCCAAGCATGGAAGCTGAGCTCTGCTCAAGGTCAGCTTCATACCAGGAAGGAGCTTGGCTGAAGATTTCCCCACTTGTTGTCTGTGTTCTTTTGTTCTATCCCACCACTGAATCTTTCTGCCTCTTCAATCAGTTGCCTCAAGGTAAATGTATCAGGTCATTTTCACCACTTAGAGGAACAAGAAGTTACACAGACCTCTGTGGTAGCAGGAGGAAAACCAGCCCTTGGGGCTACTTCCTTTATTTAGCAAAATGGGGAAAAAATTGGGTAGGGAAGTTACACCTGAAAGTAAGAACCTGAAGTGAGCTTAGGAGATGGGAACATTTCAGGAGACAGTAAGTAGAACACAGAGTATCTCACAGAGCTGAGAAGACGGGTTTGAAACCTTCCTCTGACAGTACTGTGGCTAGGAAAGTCACTTAATTTCTATGAGCCTCAGTTTCCTCATTTGTAAAATGAAGGTACTGAGAACATCTACCTGACAAAAGTGTTCTGAGGATCAAAAGAGATTATGTGTAGAAAAGACTTTCTGAACCTTAAAAGTCTATATAAATGTGAACCAGTATTATTGTTGTGGTTATTGGTCAGTCTTTATAGGGAGACTGAAAAGTGGGGTCCATGATGGACATGGCTCTTACTGAGATCCTTGGTTCTGGAACATAATTTCTTTGCTCCACATAACATCTCTGCCCTGGATTAGTCCAAAAGTCTTTATAGTCAGTTTTATTTAATTTAATTAAAAATTTTTATTAAGTTCTTACCAGGTACAACAATATATACCATGCTAAGCACTGGGTAAGATACAAAGGCTCTTTGTAGAAGAAAAACATGGCTCTTGCCTTCATATAACTTACAATCTGGTTGCAGGATATGATATACATAAATGGCTATAAATTCAGAATAATAAATATATAAGAAAGGAACAAAGTGCTAGAAAAGGCCTAAGGAGGAAGTGGTCATTACCAAAGGTGGGAATCAGCAAAAACTTCTTGGAGGAGGCAGCTTTTAAGTTGAGCTTTAAAGGATGGGAAGGAACTCAGCAAGTGTGTGTGTGTGTAGGGATCACTGGGTAAGGTGTGACTACAGGACATATATGAAAGGGAGATTATGGAGAGGAGTAGTAAGATAAAAGTATAATGGCCCCATCATGGATAGAGAGCTTGACCTAGAGTCAGGAAGACCTGAGTTCAAATCTTGCCTCAGGCACTCACTAGCTGTGTGACCTTAGGTAAGTCGCTTAACCTCTGTTTGCATTAATTTACTGCAGAAAAATGGCAAACCACTCCAGTATCTTTGCCAAGAAAATCTCATACAGGATCACAAAGAGTTGGACACAACCTAACAACAAAGTAGTTTAAACTTTTCTCGGCACTGAGTAGGGAGCCACTGAGTGATTCTGAGCAGAGGGGTAGTCTGAGCAGGTCCACCAAGAGGACAAATCTTGAATTAGTAACAATAATGAGAATAATAGCTAGGATTTATATAGATATCTCCTTAAGTTTTGCAAAACGTTTTGTCTATGAACAAAGGATGATTGGAAGGGAGCAGAGAATGCAAACAAGACCTGTCAAAAGGCTATTTCAATGGCTCAGGCAAAAGGTGTGTGTGCTAGTATGGTGGCAGAGAGAGGAGAGGAAGAAGATGGCTGTCACAATATTGATAGGGTAGGATTATAGGACTGGGTAACTAACTGATTATGAAAAGTTGGGGAGAGAGAAGAGTCAACAATAACACCAAGATGGCAAACAGGGAACACTAGATGAGTGGTGGTACCCCTGAAAGAAATAAGCTCCCATTCATTCTGTTTTTCCAAAATAGCAAGGAAGTAGAGGAAAGAAGGGGATGTTATTATCTCCATTTTCTTGGTGGAAAAAAAACAACTGAGGCCCTAAGAGATTCAATGTTTTATTTGAGATTATAAAGCAATTCACGAACAAATTCAGAATTTTAAATTTGGTCTCCAGACACCTGCTTCATTGGGCACAATAGATAGAGGACTGCCGAGTTCGGAGTCAGGAAGACTTCTTTTCCTGAGTTCAAATCTGGCCTCAGGCACGCACTAGCTGTGTGACCCTGGGCAAGTCACTTCACCCTGTTTGCCTCAGTTTCCTCATCTTTTAAATGAGCTGGAGAAGAAAATGGCCAACTACTCCAGTATCTTTGCTAAGAAAACCCCAAATGGGGTCATGAAGAGTCAGACATGACGGACTGAACTAATGACAACTAACCTACCCATGATAAAAGTTAAAAAAGAAAAGAAAAGAAAAAAGTTTTTACTTGTTAGTCAAAGCCCTGGATTTGGATTTGCAGGACACGGGTTCAAATCCTAGCTTTGCCACTTCCCTGTATGACTTAGAGGAAGTCACTTAACCTATTTTGATCAGTTTCCTCTTCTGTAAAACAAGGGGGTGGGGCTATATGAACCCTAAGGCCCCTTCCAGTTCTGAGTCTAGAAAGCCATAATCGCGTATGAGCCTCCTTAACCTTTTGATGAGAAATAGAGGGAATGAAATTACGTTCTGAGGAAAGCAAGAGGTTTAAAGCCTAGGGAAAGAGGGAAAGGGGAAGAAAGTAGGGAATGGAACGAGATCCGAGGTTTGCTTTTGAAATGGTACAGTGGATAGTCGGGAACCAGAGAGTGTTGGACGTTGAGTCGAACGTTCTGTAGATGCTAATGAGGAAGAAATGAAGGAGGCTGGGATAAACGTGAAATGCAGCCAGGGGTGCCTGACGGAGGACTTCAAAGTCGGTCGGTGGTCAGTAAACAAGAAATCAGGGTAGGAACTCAGGGGATGAGAAGGAACAGAATGAACTTGGCCTGCAGAGTCCTCATGATGACGCAGCAGTTCTGAAAAGTCCCAGCCACCCCAAGAATGACTGTCAGGTCAGCTGTGTAGAGCTGTTTGTATATCTTTATTCCTTTTTGTGACATTCCAG